GTGGTGGGCCAGCCGCTCGGCCACCCCCCCATCCGGGACGTCCCGCGCTGAGCTTTCAGGGGGGCGTGACGAGGCTGCTTCCCAGGGGAGTCTGGGGAGCTGCTGACTTCCTGACCCAGCTCTGCTGTTCCTGCCCTGCCGACACCCCTCGAACCTGATCCACAGCCCCCTCCCCGCAGGGCTCCAGGACTTGGGGGGGGCGTGACGAGGCTGCTTCCCAGGGGAGTCTGGGGAGCTGCTGGCTCCCTGACCCAGCTCTGCTGTTCCTGCCCTGCCGACACCCCTCGAACCTGATCCACAGCCCCCTCCCCGCAGGGCTCCAGGACTTGGGCCAAAAGATTATTCCGGGGCAGGGGCAGTTTCCAGCTGGTGCAGGACGTAGGGAGGGGGAGGAAAAGGAGTCAGCGCTGACCCCCAATGCTCCCTAGGGGGCGCTGTGCCAGGCAGCAACGGCCAATGAACCGAAAGAGCATCTGGGATCCGTCACCCGCCCCGGCGGTAGGGCGTGAGCCCCGGCGTCCTGCCCCATCCCAGCTGCCTCCCGCCCGTCCAGGCCTCTTCCTGTCCCATGGCACTGTGCTAAGCAGCGGCCACGTCCCACCCCAGAGGTGGCTGCCCGCCAGGCCGAGCGGCCCCTTACCGGCGAAGGTCATCAGCACGTCGCAGTTCTCCGTGGGCACCGTCTTCATCCAAGATTTGTGGGACATGATGTTCCCAAAGAGCTTGTCTGCCAAAGGAGCCAAGACACGAGGGTAAGTGGGGGACGGAGCTGGGCTGGAAACAGACGCAGGGGACATAGATCCCGGAGAGGGGGGGAAAGGCGGGGCTGTCCCAAGAGGAGTGGCCGACGGGCGGGGAGGCCAGAAAATACTTCTCAAAGCACAGACAGGGCTGGAACTGCGCCTGACCCCCAGGGCACATGACCAGAATGGCTTAGCGCAGGGGTGGGGAACCTACGGCCCATGCGGCCCCCGGCTTGCCTGGATCCGGCCCCTGAAGCTTGGGACTCCCCTCCCAGCCTGCTCCTGCGCTCTTCCTCTCGCCCAGACCCTACACCCCAAGCCTGCTTCCCGGCAGCTCCTTTCCACACACTGAACCCCTATTTTGCCCCCACTCCAGAGCCTGTGGCCCACAAAATCTATAGCCCGGGGGGCCCTGGGTGCTGCCATGTGATGGTCTTTTTCCTCAGTCGGGGGCCACGTCCGTGAAGGTTTGTTTGGGGTTTTTTGCTTCTCGCTTTTGTGCAGCCCCCAACTGATTTTTCTGTGGTTCGGCAGCCTCCCACCCCAAAAAGGTTCCCTGCCCCTGACTTCGAGCCAAGGAGACGTGGCCGGATGGGGGCTACGCAAGGGTGTGGAAGGGGGGCCAGTTGCTGTCCCCGGGTAAGCCTGGCACACACTCTATAGCACAACCCCCCCAGATGCAACACAAATCATATCGCAGACATGACACACACACACACACACACACAACGCACTCACAATGCACTCCCCGCACAGGCTTGCACCAGGTTCCCCTAACCCTAGCAGAGCCATCCATACGTGAAGACACATGGGGACTGTCCCCGCATGCCTTGTTTGGAAACGAAACCTTGGCCTGTTTGGAAGGATGTGGTAGGACCAAGCCTGGGGGCAAAGATCCTGAGGTCAGTTATCCTGGTGCAAATATGGAGTAACCCCTCCGAAGCCAGTGGCGTGTCCGGAAGGCAAATCCAGAGGGGCTTAGATCAGGATTTGGCCCAGGAGCTATCACCTTTTGGGGTGAAAAGGAAAACCACTAACTACCCAATACAGCTCTTGGCCTCAGGGATATCATGTGGCCAGGAGTTCCACAGGCCCTTTGTGCCGGTTTTAAAAAGCATTTCCTTTTCAGTGTTTAAAATGCCCCCTTTCCCTGTCACCAAATGCCCCGGCCCTGCGTTGTTAGAAGAGGCTAAGGAGAAATACATCTCCTTTCTCTAGGCTGCACGTTATCTTATATGTAATGAGGTGGGGTCCTTCAGGGCAGCTATAGGCCCCCACGTATGGAACACGGGAATTGTGGGAGATGTAGTTCCCAAAGGGCCATTGCCGCAAGGCATGCTGGGAAGGAGGGTCATGGACTATATATTCTCTTGTCCCATTCGGCATGTGCTGAGCCGGGGCCTCCATGGAGCCGCCCCCAGCGACGCTCAAGTCTCTTTGCCCAGTGGCTGCTAGAACCTAGGTCTCTGCTGCAATCCCGTCTCTGTGCCCCACTAGCTCGCCCCTTTGCCGCAGGCTATGGGGCAGCCTCTCCCGGGCAGGCAGC